TTGGATTGTGAACACTATATTATAAAAAATAGTTTCACAAGTCTTTAAATACTCATTAAAATTATAAATATATTGCATTTCTTTAAACAAATCTTGGCACATTCTATTGGTTCTTAATGACATTGTATTATTTAAAACAGTAAAATGACCAATAAAAAAATAAAATATGCCCACTGAACCGAAATTATATAAGCAACTCTAAAAATTCTGACGTTGGAGGTGGAAATGGATACTTTGATTTCTGTAACAAATTCGACCAGGATGGCATAGAGTATAGCTGGTATAACAATAAGATATAATAAATAGTGTATTTTCTCATAGTCAATTCGAAAACGTCCTGCGTGTGATCAACAATTTTTTTGAAGACACCAATGCACATATAATATAGTAGTAATATAATAGTCAATAGCTTAAAAAAAAAACCTACATATACGTTACCCTTTAATAAACAAGCCACTATACCACTTATTTCACCAAGTCGAGCACACACGTATAATAAAACGCACTGTGCAAAATATTGTTCCAGTTAGGTATTTGTAAAATGAACATTCTCGAAAGACATTGCAACGTTCCTATATATGTAACTAAAAGTATCGTGTGTTAGGAATTCAAAACTTTCTTTCTTATACTATACTTACGAGTTCACGACTATTAGAAGTTTTTTTCTGCGATTTGCATTGGAACAGAAACAAGGCGAACAATTAATTAAGTAAAATTTAATGACAAAAATAAATAAACGCTTTGAGTAGGCATCATAATATAATACGTACCAAAACATAGTATACTAATAATAAACAACATATACATGCATATTATATATATATATATATATTCGGCGGCCAAAAACTATATAATAAATTAAATAGTAAAATTTAGTACAATGATACATGAATTAACTTATTGGATAGGTAAACAGTACCGAAAAAAAAATAATAATTATAAAAAACAAATTTATATGTAGGAATATAAAATAATGTAATGTACATTTATAATAAATATTAAGCAAGATGTATTATATGATAATTTACAATATAATAAGGAATAAAGGGTGTAGTTAATTACACACAAATATTAAATAAACAGTAGAGGTAAATGTATTCAGTAACACAAAAAAAACGGGTGCCCAAAGAATAATTAGGTAAATAATAAAAACATAATTTGAATGAGTTATAAAAATGTAAAAGTATAAAGGATGTAGGTATAATAGCACTTAGATAATTACGTACATTTTGTATAAGGTATAAGGTATTCAGTAGGTACCGTAAAAAAAAAATACAACAATAATATGTAGTTATATATATAACCCAAGAGAATAAATACAAAAAAATATCAACACTATGTAATATGATTATATATTATTGATAACAATATTTTATCTCCAACTGTCAAAGTTCGAAATTCATTTTATACAGCCACCGAAGGGTGGCGATGGGTGACGACTTGTGGACACACGGACGGGGATTACGCACAGGGCGGATTACCGGTCCACAAGCTCGCACACCACAATCACGTTAAATATCCATCGGCAGACTGCTCTGGTTAATAGTTAATACCTCGTGGATACGCAAGTGGCACTCAAGTGCAGGCTCGACGTTCCAGGACGGCCGTGACACTTAAGTTCAGGCTTGGCGTTGGACGGACGAGGCGTGATGATGGATGCGAATGTCAAAAGACGGCGGCAACTAACACAGTTGTTCACCCCGGTATACAGACACGCAGGCCAACGCACATGTGAGCCGTTGCTGATGACTCCATCAGACCAATCACGTTCGCCGTTGATTCAGGACGAAGTCTAACGGTAATGTCGCACGATCGACGAGGTTTTTAGAAAGATAGCCAAACAAGTTCGCGACGATTGACCTGTCACAAAATTCAATATGAAAACATCATTATAAAATAATCAGTCAATAACACAACATTATTATTATATTATTATCTAAGCTAATACACATTTTCCACTTAAGAGGACGCCACACCCGCATGTGTTGTCTCCGTCTTACAAACGCGTAACATATCAAATTTTACACTCTGCAGATCACGTTTATCTCCGTCAGTTTAAAAGTTAGAGTGAATTGACCTCTTATTAAATATAAAGGTAAGATTATTGTTGAGGGCATCTCATAGGCATTTTATTATATTTTAATTTTAAAAGGAATATCGTGTATTTTAAGATGTACAAACAATTTACAATTTTAAAATAGTAATAATTCGCTCTAAAATTAAAATATAATAAAAAGGATATGAGATGCTCTCGATAATAATCTTACCTTTAAATTGAATAGGAGGTCAATTTACTCTAACTGTTAAACTAAAGGAGATAAACGTGATCTGCGGAGCCTACAATTTGCTATGTTACGCACTTGTAAGACGGAGACAACGAATGTGAGTGTAGCGTCCTCTTAAGGAGCTTTTAAAACACCATAAAAAAAAATTAAATCTCATCAAAATCCCATCTTACTTATCTTTATAATAATACCTAATAACAGTCAATATTCCAGATGTGAAAATCAATATATTATTAACTGCAATTATGCAGTTATTATTTCGTATGGCGTCAATGAGCAACATCAACAACACTTAGAATATTAAAAGATATAACATCTACATAATTAAAATAAAAAGATGGTCAACAGTGATAAAACTCAACATAAAACATAAAACTTAAAACATAAAATATATAAAACATAATACATAAAATAGATAAGGGGTTCCCCATTTGGTGAATGTACGGGTCATGCTATAGCTTCACATCCAGGTTCTTCATCCATTCCACCGCTTCTTCCTTCATCAGGTGGATATCTTCTATGGTGCCTTTAAATGCGTAAATTGGATATTCATTGATGATGTGATTGATCGTCTGGGATTCATAACCACAGTCACACGTTTCATTGTCACGCAGTCCCCATTTATACATCATGTGACCGCTCCTACCATGACCAGTTCTAATACGGTTTAGTGTTACCCAAGTACTTCTTTCGAGGTCAAATCCCGGTTGTTTGATAGTTGGGTTTGTCACCAGTTTTTGGTTATCTGGATTTTCTATTGTCCAATCGTTTTCCCATTTAGAACTTATATTGAATTTATCTTTGGTGAGATCCCTTGCTGTTTTCCATGGTGGTTTACGCGACTTGAGTCGTTGAACACCTTCTAATGCAGTCAGGTCCGTGTGTATGGGAAGGAAGGGGTTATTAGCGTACTTTATCCATTCTTGCAATAGTGCATGTTCTCTTCGTAACTTAGGCGGAGCAATGTTACTAAGCACTGGTAACCATTTTAGTGGTGTAGACTTTGTCAACCCACCAATTGAGCGCATAGCCGCATTAAGGTGTTTGTCTACGTTCTTTGTGTGGACGCTGTTAAGCCAGACAGGGGCACAATACTCAGCTGTAGAATACACTAATGATAGCGTGCTTATACGTAACGTATTCGCATCAGCTCCCCATGTTGAGCTAGATAGCTTTGAAATGATGCTCTGACGGGTCTTGACTTTTGCTGATAGTCTGGTTAGGTGTTCTCTATAAGTGAGTGTTCTATCTAGAACCACTCCTAGGTATTTTGGGTGTTTAGTATTTCGTACTTCCTGACCGCCAAAGTTTATATTTATTTCTTGACTAGCTTTTTTTGTTATTCAAGTTTTTTTATTATGCAGTTATTAAACAGCCACACGAAAATTTAAACTTACAATTTATTCATAGTTAAAAATAATATCGTTATATCAAAGAAATGTATTATAATTACAACTATTGTGTGTCTGTTTAAATAACTATTCTAATATTGTTATATTATTACAACATTGGTATATTATTTTTAGAACAACTATATTTATGATAATAATAACCAATATCTATCAGTTGGAATAATTATTACTTTCTTGATTATTGATAAACCATGTTTGCGTTAAACCAACTTATATTATGGTTTATTTAACAAAGACTTTAGGTAGTTAAAATATTTTAACTATTTAATTTTGTAAAATCAACATAAAAATAAAGCTAGAATATTGAACCGTGAAGCGTTTTTAGGGTTATGTAGATACTTATGTACAATTGTACAACGAGTTGTTAGATTTTAATTTCTGCAACCAGAAATCGTTCGTTATTTTCTTTAATCTTTTACAGTTGACTGTATGTAACTGAGTGCTACTGTGTTCCGATTCCAGTGTTCGTCAACGTTTAAACGTCAACAGCTATTTTCAGGTATATATCTTTTACTTTAATGACTATAATCTTTATATTATTGTTACTTATTACAATTATTTTAGAGGAAAAAATAGATAGAATGGCTTTTTTAGACTTGACAGAATCAATGGTAGCTAGATTGATTCCAAAAATGGGACCACAATCCAAATTCTTGAAAATACTACGGACGTTAAGAGAAGAAATCCAGAGGGATAAAGTAGGTTACTTATTTAGTATTATTTATTATTATACCTTCCATTAATTCTTAGGTACGTTGGATAGTTAATCAACTAGATTAATGAAAGTATTATTATACAAGTAGACATTCTCAAACTGTTTGTTACTAGGAAATAGCATCAACAGAATCTAGTATCAGTGCATCTGGTGCATCCGGTTCTTTGAATTTAACCTAACATTGGTAATATTGCAAACTTTGAAATTCTTACTACACAAAAAAATTTAAAGGTTAGATGGTGGGGAAATATGCATTAAAGGCAGTTTATGCCAGTTAGTGCCAGTATTGGTGGAAGCGATCCAAAATGCGTCTAACTCTTGAATGGTAATATTATTACGGTACGCTATACTTATTATTATTATTACTGATTTAATATTCGTGGATTATTTATAAAATAAAATGTTTCTATGTTCTATTAAATATATAAATAACAACGAAACCATATTATAACTTAAAAAAATTTGAAAAAAAAAAAAACAAAAATTGGTGAAGATGCATTTACGCCAAGTTGCGCTGCTGAGAGCTATATAGTAGTAGTATGTACTTACATCAAAATATGAGTTCCCTTTACGTCTCGAGGTAGCGATTTACATGCCCGCCGTCCAGAATACGGCCAATGGTGTCAGAACGATTACCGAAAAAAAAGTGACGTCGGACACGTCCGAAGATGTCTTCCAATCGTGGTCCAACTGGACTTGGCCATGGTCGTCCACTGATTCGATTGGGCCTCTGTTAAGAGCTATCACGAGCGGCACCACGGTATCGTCGTCGAGAAACTGATGTGCGCTAGTCGGCCGCGGTATAGAACAGCGTCTGGTGACCACCGCTGGCATCCAGGACGCCGGTAACAGCACGGGCCACCCGGGTCGCCATGGTACCATCAACAAATGTGGCCGGGTATCTCTGTCGTAAAATGCACAACTGGTCAATGAATTTGACGCATGGTCGTCCGCTAGCCGCACCACTTGCAGCACCGTTTGCCGTACGGCCGGCGAACGGCGAAGTCTGCTCGCTGCCAGTTTGCCCCAACCTAGGCCGGTTTCCCTCAAGAACTGCCTGTGGATAATATAATGATGCGAATAATAGATATTTCTCTATAGTCATAACTCATAAATCATAATAAGAATAACAATTTGTTTGTTAAAGGCTCTGTCAAACAGAAAGCGTTATTTTCACATCACGTGATTTTGTAATTTGTTACAACGCCGCGTTATTCACTCGCGTGAAAGCACCACGCCGACTGGCGTCGTAAAATAGCGACTTTAACGTGCGTATAATGCGTTCTGTTTGACAGAGCCTTTAAAAATAAATACACAACGAGACGGATAATAGATATTATGCGATAATTCGTAAAAGGTTTTATACGTTGTATAACAGGTAATAGGTACCTGTTACCTACATATAATAATATTATAATCTTTAATATTTATCGTGATGTATTTTCAAGCACATATTTCAGCTACCTATTTCATCCAATAGATTTTGAACGGTTTCGATAGGTAAGTAATAAGGTAAAACTACCTGTTTGATTAATACATATATTTTTTTAAAACTACTTAATTAGTTATATAGATGTATATGTATATTATATAATTCACAATAAATAATCCAACTTCCAAGATATATAGATCATAGTTATGAGTCGTATGAGTGGTATGGCCATCATACAATCTCATATTATTAATTTACGGTAGTCCTTGCTCAGGTAAAGTTTATTTATTTTTTTAATTTTTATATTATTTGGTTAACATAAAATGATACAAAGTATAAACTATCTACGGAGTCACAGTGTACAAATATAATTTAACTAAATTACATAATTAAATAAACGATAGTAAAAAAAAGAAATATACAAATTTTTCTTGATTCTTTTACCTAATAGGTTTTGTAATACCGAATCATAAACTTAATCAATGAATTATAACAAAATATAATTTATAAATTTATTGATGTTAGTATTATCAATGAAAATATTTATTTTCACATCTACTGGCATAGAGTTAAAACTTAAAATTAACAGGATAGTTAATGAACTTTTGTCCAAAACTCGTTTTTGTGTCGGTACTAGGTATATCACTTTAATATTAAATAATCGGGCTATAATTTGAGACACTAGCTGCTGTTCGTGAACATGTGTAAGAACTAAGAGAGTAATATCAAATTCTACTAATTAATTAAATTACCTACAATACATTTCAAAAACAGTATGTATTAACTGATTGGTATCATATGCATGAATACCACAATAATTGTAGGTATATAAACACTTAAACAGTTCTTTCAAAAATACAGTTTTTAAATTATTAAAAAGTAGGTATATTGTATACCTCGTATTCAATTATCCATGAAAAAGAAACATGTAAGTTTTCTAACAATAAAAATAAATTTAAAGAAACCCGTTGCAACTGCTACAGAAAAAATTATCTATTTAACGCCCAAAAACAGTCGTACGTATGGTACCTACCTCCTATTCGGAGATAGTACCTACGGAACGCGTTATAAGGACAAAAAAAAAAGAACTACCCACCTCATTTAAGCGGAGGTTGTTGTTCGTTTATATTTAAGTACCTACACGGTCTTCCGTCCTATAACGATGTGGTCACTCGATGTGTTGCAAGTACCTAACTCTCAATGAATATTAAAATTTGTCTAAACACTGACTTAAAACGACTGTGAAAAAAACACTCACTTGACGATTTTTTCGACGTCGTGAATAAACCTTAAAGCCTTGAAGGTCGTATGGCCGTCGCAGTACAGCCCAGAGATTCGCGGCAACAGCCTGGCATAAATTATTTTGCCCTCCAGGGTGTCTGCGACGACGATCATCAAGCGTCTTAGGAGGGAGGGGGCCATTTTTCGAGCTCTGACAACAACGTCGTCCACCGTCGTCCGACGCATCACGTGGAGCAGTCTGCCTGATGCAGTCCACATCGTCTTCCGGGAGTTTGCGACGAAGACCGTAGAGCGTTGGACGAGGGTGGAGGCCACTTTTTTGGCAAGACACAGGACATGATCATAATAATTTCGGGCCTTTCCAACAACGTCTTCGACCGTCGTCCGGCAGAGGACTTGAAGCCGCCCGACTGATGTCCAGGTCCGCTCCGGGCCGACGACCTCCTCGAGACTGAACCTTACTGCGGTTCCGGATGCGTCTAGACTTGTTGCTGCGTTCGTCATGTGCACCGACATGACTGCCAACAATAACAACAACAACAACAACAACAAGACGCTTGACGTGCTGTTAAGCGGTAACATTATAAAATAATATTACGAAATTACTGATAATAATAGAAATTAATTTTTTTACAATGATTCCACACAGACATATATTTTACAAAAGTTACTTCGAAAATGTATTTAAACGATACAGTGTATGTTATATTATTATGTATTTTATTGCTGTATTAAGAAAAACAAATAATTGATATTAAGAGGTTTTAATTGTTCAATTTAAACTTTAAACATAAGTGTTTTTGATTTTATCTTAAAATATTATATTTATGTTTTTTTTTTTATAATAAAATATGTTCATTGAATTGTTTATTTGAATTGGAACATATAATGCTTATTGTAAGTTTAAAATATTTGTAGTTATGTTTTGAATAGTTATAAGGACTCAATTGTACTAAAATTTATGTCTGCTGGTGTGCTTAGTTTAGAGTGTAATTTTGGGTTAGGGAGTATAACAATTAAAAAACATATATTTTGTTAGGAAAAAAAATACTATTTACACAATATGTTTACAAATCATTGTTTTAGTAAATTTACACGATGAAGTGTAAAAAAAATTGAAGGGATGGGGGATGACCCACTCTCTACACAAGGGCCTGTCATATCATCACTATTGTTTATACATATACATGAATATATCATGTTTATTTGGCCCTCTCTAAAAAATTTGGCCCTCAGACTGGCCCACCTGGTATTAAAATTCTGTCTCCGCCACTGTTGGCAATACGTTTTGTCTACTTTTCCATCAACCTGTTTGAAAAAAAAAATAAACAATTGTTTAGTTTATCTCTTATGAATTGTTTCAAAAAATTAATTTACTTCAAAAACGCTTAAATCTTCACTTTGGTGGATTTCTGTGCCCGGTGTTGTTTTCCAATTACAGGGTCGCTTATGTCTTTCTAAAATCGATTGACATTTAGTGTATTTTAAACAAAACTCACAAAATATTAATCTCTCAGCATTCTCCTCCTGCTTGAATGGACACAAATAACAAGTCTCCACTTCAAATTTTCCCAATTTTATTACACTCGGACATACTACTGGAGTTTGAATTGTACTCTACAAATGTCAATTATAGAAATATAACAAGTGTAAGACGTCATGTTATATTAAAAGAAAATAAATAATTTTAATTTTACATTCTTTCCCAGTGTTCTACTCCGTTTACATGTTTTTATATCATCGTTCACCACTCCATATAATAAGTCTGATGCCTCAGGTTGGATCATATTTTTCAGAACTGAAAATTGGATTTCATATTTATAACTAACTACTAAGGCTGGTTAGTAAGCCAAAAAAGTTAAGTACGGCATAAATAGTCACTAATATAAATTGTTAAAGTAGGTAGGTAAATAGAAGAAAACATATTAATACTGTTTAAAAATAAAGCATAAACAAGTAATCTCACTTAATAATAATATTATATGCTTATTTATCCTGTAATTTGATGAACAATATCCAGAATTATACGTTATTTCAACCATTTATAATGTAATATGGAGTTCGTCTTAAACGGATATTATAGTTATAAAATAGGATGAAAACATTTTAATTTTTAATATAGAACCCAAATTTCCACTGTGCTGCCCAGTTTCCATATGTATTTATGAAATTAAATGAAATAAAATAAACAAATAATACTAAATTTAAATAATTATCAACATTGTTTTTAATGTGAAATTGAGCATATTATTATTTTGTAAATCAAAACCATAATTTAATAAATCCACATATTATTGACTAGCATTGAGTACTGCCATATATCATAATATACATTATTTTATATGTCATCGCTTAAAATATTGCTATTAAATTATTAAAATCATAAAAATGTGACGTAAATATCATTCACTAGTATATATCATACGTAAATATCATTCCCTGGTATTCACTAGCCATAATTGCTTTGAAATTGGAATTTATTTATTTTTAATTTTCCATTCGTAATCTGCTCTCCGAGTAGGTACTATGGGTACTTGGTATCTATACATACTATGTTTGATTAATATACTCAAAAGAACGTAAATATAAACATGCAACATGCAATGGATCAAAATTAAACACACCAGATCATATCCCGTTCACACTTAGTGCATTAAGTGCAGCACTTTGCTTAAATAATTTTGATTTCTCCTTGGAGATAGCAGTGTCCCACCGGCCCACCGAACACTACCTCTAACTGGTCGATGTGTTTGGTGGGAGGGGGTGGCGAGAAGTAAGAAGAGACATTACCGTCTTCCGCGACATCACGTTGATACGTTGAACCCACAATGGAAAGTTTTTCATGCTTTTCCTATAAAAGTTACAATATATTAATAAATACATACTGAAAGAAATAATAATTTATATTTATTACTTTTTTCAATGTCCTGTCTCTAGCATCAGTTTGTACCCTTTTCCTTTTTATCCCTGCAGCTCTAGGAAGTAAACAGGGGACATTACTGTCTTCCTTGAAATCGTGTATATACATCGTTCCTTTAATGGGCAGTTTTCCATACTTTCCCTGTAAAAATTATAATATATTTATAAATACCGAATGAAATAATAATTGTCCTGTGTTACTTTTTTAATCTTTTTTTCGCTATCATCAGGCCGTACACTTTTTCTAGTGTTTGGGACATTAACATTTTCAACTGTTTGAGCAATAGTTGTCTTGTCATTACTATTTGACACGTTATCGTTCGGCATGATGTCTAGATATGATATTGACAATGCAGTTATTACGAAGCGAAAGAAGGGATGTTTTGATTTTAGTAGAATTAACAAAAATGACGATCTGTCAGCCTAATATGTATGATATATCAATTACTAAGTATATTTTATGATTTTACCGTGGTTAATGTAAATTATTTAATTATTAGACATTATAGTGGTAATACAGTAGGTAAAATTTGCATTTAAAAATATTATTGTGTGTATACAATTTAATAATATACTTAAAAAGTTTCAAGTACTCGCGAATAATATATTTAATTACAACAAAATAAGTTATAACTAGAGCGTGGACTTAAAGCATTAAAAATCAACCAAATAAGCGCTAAAAAATCTTAAATATGCATAATATATGCACTGCTATAGCCTATAGTGTTGAAATATGCATGAAAGATAAAAATTATGCATAAAAAAAATTAGCAAAAAAATTTATTTTTTGAACGTTTAATTAAAACAATATATTTAAAATTATGGAACATTTCTATAAATACTTTTCTTCATTTTTTTTTTTTTTTTTTTTTTTTTAGTAGTGTCCATGGTTAATGGTCGTAATCAAAATTTCCTTATCTTGGTATACCTACGTTTTATACTCGTATTTCACTGATTATTGATCTAAGATCATCTTTGTGAAAACCAAATATATCTACAAGTGTAGGTATCTATTAATTTATTAATCCAAACAATAAAAGTATAATATTTTTTCTTATATTACAATACCTAGTATATATTTCAAAAATGTCTAATTAAGCATCGAAATATGCACTAAAAGATGAAATATGCAATTCAAATTGTAAAATAAGCCCTTAAATAGAAAAATCTGTGCACCAAAAAGTTTAATTTTTTAAACCGTTTTGCATTATGCCATATAACAAATTGTGTGCTCACTTAGCATATCATACAATCAACAAGAACAAAGATGCAAATGCATATAAATCTGCGTTCTAGTATTAAAACTATAAAATCCTTCTTTTTCGTTTAAATATCTAATTTCGTCCAAATTTGAACTTAAAATGTATATATAACAAAATAACTGTGTATACATTTTTTAAATTTGTTGGCAGCAGTATGAACTATTTATAAGAATACTTGTTTTAAATTTACAATCTTTAGCTATAAACATTGAAAATTTTATACATTTTTAACTACAAAGAAATTGTTAATTTTCAAGATTTTGGTAAATGTTGTAAACGTCAATACTTTAAAATTGTATAAAAAAAAAAATCGTACCTATGAATCTTCCTTACTGCTATTATATGAACCTTGTGTTATATTTTCGAGCAAACGAAATAAATTGTATTTACATTTATAGAAAAAAAGAACTAAACGAATTGAAAATTCAATATATATCTTTAAATAACTCGAAACGACCCTACGTATTTTGAAAATTGTATGGTGTATACAAAATTTTAATATAAATGTAAAGTGTATCTAATGTAATGCTATACTTGTTTTTTTATAGTTGTTACTTATCTAGGTACATTTTATTTAAATCATTTTCATTTTTCATAAATAATATTCAATATTGTAAATAAGTATAGTTATTTAAATATAATAAAAATGTTATTAAATGTTTTTTATCTATTCTCAACACTGCATTCACCATTGTAAAATCATTACAATCATCACTTTGGTTAGGCTCTAAAATAGTTTAGCACTGATATCGACTGTACAGCTATTTGTATATTTTGTTATTATGTCTCGGGTCGTTTACGTGTATTATAGGTACTTACCGATATCATGATGGATATCGAGTGCGGCTCTTGAGGTTCGAGACAGTTTTCTATTATGCTTATCATCTTCATAAGATGATCGTTTTCGATTTGTTGTCAGGTAAGGTCAGGTTGGTAGCTACAGCTACTTTTTCACCGGTATCATGGACCTTAAATAAGTCCAAATTGATTTTTATTAATATAGTGTCTTCGAATTTCAGGCATAATTTTTCTCTTACTCTATGGTGTATAATATACAACAAATCCCTCTTGTGCGTACCCGGAGGCACGTCTGTCTCAGCAGTAGCATTTTTGTCGGAATCCGGGGCCATGCTGGACACCCCTTCATCCGATTGGTCACGGTTGACTGGTAACGAAAGTAGCAAGCCCGCTCCGTTGGACCTGATTTTTACAACAGGTCCACCTACTACCAACGACTCCTGATGGTCCTGTCCCTCTGGAGTAGTAACAATATCTTTCCTTTTGCTATTCATATTGTGGTTTTCGGTTTTCCTTCCGTCCATTTTACCTACTGGC